GACGGTTCCTTATGCTTTCAAAATGCTCTCGAGGTATTTTGATGTCATACACCGATCAGTCTGCACACGCAAACAAGGCCAAAACCTAGATATTTCAGGCAATATAGAAATCCTGGCCAGGACGCGTCCTGGGAAAATGGCACGGATTGTCACCCTACTATAGACCTTACCCTTACAAAAAAATAAGTATACTTCAACATAATATTATTAAGTATACTTAAGTAAAGTTAGCAAATGGCTGCAATATAACAAAGAGTGAAAAATTGAAGGGGGTCTGAATACTTTCCGTACCCACTGTATTTTGAAGTATACTTGGAGTAAGTATACTAATATCAATGTGTACTATTTCAATGCTACTTGGGACTAAAACTGCCCACTGTTTAATTTATAAAACTATACTTTTAATTATACTTTAAGTGTACCAGTAGTAATCTTTGAGTACACAACTAGTTTACAACTACAAAGTACATAATGTATATTTCTGAGAAGTACGTTAAAAAGTAGACTGAAAGTATACTTTCTCATATTACACTCTAAAAAATGCTGGGTTAAATACAACCCAGTGCTGGGTAAAATAGGGACAAACCCAGCAATTGGGCTGTTTTGACCCAGCGGTTGGGTTAATGTTTAACCCAACCTTCTGGGTAGTAACCCAACCGCTGGGTCAAAACAACCCAATTGCTGGGTTTGTCCCTATTTTACCCAGCACTTGGTTGTATTTAACCCAGCATTTTTTAGAGTGTAGTTTAAAAGAAGTATACTAATAGCACACTTGTATAAACGTCTTTTTGTAATTTCTATAGATGGAATATATATATATAGGTCCTAGGTATAAAGGTCCTAGTTAATGTAATTTTCACAACTCACTTTCAAAAGTGTTTTATGGAGTTTTTGTCCACTGATTTATTCTTTTCCTTGTGTGTTTTTTTTTTTTTTTTTTGTTTTTTTTTTTTTTTTGGTCAGCTGAGCAATCATATGTTGTTAAACAACAGTGAAGTTGAATACACTGCACTTCTATCCCTCACTGCCTCGTTTTCATTGCTGTCAGAAATGAAATATAGTGCTATCCTATAGTGATGTTTTCAGAAGAATAGTAGGCTATAATTTTGCAGCATGTATATCTTGAGGAGAAAGATGGCTTGGTTTACAAACAAATGGAGAAAAGTTTGCTCATGAAAAATCATTCCCTCTGTGCAAACAAAATGATGTTGACTGAGTTTTGAGCGTCTCCGTTTCATGTTCGTCTGAAGAAAATTAAGCACTTTACACAAGAACAGATGCAAGTACAGATGAAGAAATGAAATTAAGACTCAGAGAAAGGCAGAATGTTCTCCACTGATTTAATTGTGCGATGGTGGGCGCGTGTTGCTTGTGAGTGGCTCCTCATTGACTCTTCTGTTCTTGAACTGTCATTGTGAAAGTGATTGAGTGTTAACCAATAAAATATTCCAAAATGCAAATATTGAGCCGCGTCCACATCAACACTCATGAATCTTCTACTGTAGCTCACTTGTCCTTTGATAAACCAAAGACGGCTATCTGTTCACGCTGTATGAGTATAGCTTTATCAAACATTTGCAGCTTATTAATGATCTCAGTGTGGACATAAACCAACCTTTGAAATCAGCAGGAAGTCCTTGAAACCAAACCATCGGATATCTGTAAGTCACCAGTAGATTTGTAATTGTCAGTGAGCATATTTACATGTGATGCATTTGTACAGAATGTCAAGTGATACGACACAAAGGAAACGTTTTCAGATGCTTCACTGATGTATCAGCTTTGTCTCAGATGTTTCTTCATAGAAGACATCAAAATAGACAATAACTAGACAATTGCTGAAATACAGTAAGAGTATTGAGCTATAAAATGAATGTGAATAAGAGCTCAGATCATTTAATGAGAAATGTTTGAGTTCATACTGAGATTGAGTTCATACACTGAAAAAAAAATTATTAATTATTAAAAAATTATTATTATTATTTTTTAAATGTTCTCCAAATATTTCTATTTACAACTTTGAAAAATCATTGTTTACATGAATTCTTACATGTTTACGTTGATTTCTTGGCAAATCTGAACACAATTTAAGAATTTCTTTGTAAGAATAACAATTACAATGAAATGTCACGTAACATACGGAATTAAACATGACAATTTGAATTAGACTATTTGAACTGACATAGTATTTTCTTGTAAAATGTACTACAATAATCTTTGTTTTATTTACAACTTTGAAAAATCTTTTTTTACATTTACTTTGATTTCTTGGCAAATCTGAGCACAATTTGAGATCTTAGTTGAAATCTCTTCTGAAACTCTAGAAATGACATTAAATTTCTATGTTTTTTTCCTTCAGGAGAAACATCCCCAGGAGCATCTCCACTGCTCTCAGTTAAAATAGACTCAAATGAGACAATTTCTGAAATACGGTGAGAGTAAAGAGCTATAAAATGAATATGAATAGCTGATCAGAACATTTGATTAGACATTTTTGAGTTCATACTTTGATTTCTTGGCAAATCTGAAGATCTCTTCTGAAACTCCAGAGGAGATGTGAGATTTCTAGGGTTGCTCAGGAGAAACATCTGAGGAGCATCTCAACTCCTCTCAGTTAATCTCATAGCTATCTATCAGCCATTTCTGAGCTATTAAAGAGATCTCATGTGGGATTTTCTGGGCTGCGGGAAGAAATGTGGCACACGCACCGCACAGGTGCCCATAACCTCTCTGTTGTGTACAGTCTTAAAGAGAGAACGTTTTGTTCTCTGTCTCCTTTGAAATGAAAAATACTCCCTCAGATTATCAGCGGACATGATTAAATAGCAATAAAGATGCACTCAGTGCTTCACCTGGGACAGTAAATGGAAAAGCTCTCTAATAAAACAGCCTTAACAAACAAGACAGCGGAGGGGCTTCTCTTCAGGGCTGTTTCTCAGTGATGGAATCAAATAGATTGCACTGGAAGCTTTAAACCGACACTGCAGCTCCTAATACAATTAGATTAACGCTGTCTTCTGTTTACCTCCCTGGGTATTTGCAGTGGTCTGTATTGCATTTATTTGTCTACAGTGCTCTGCTAAACTACATGAGACAGATCCGGGGCAGCGTGAGCCTCCCACATCACAGTGCAACGTGAAAGGCTTTGGCAATCGATATTATACTGCTCAGCCAGGAACACAGATTGTTGTTAAAAGACAAGCGAGATTATAAGAGAAGTACACTTATTATGAAGACACTCAAAGTTTTAAAGTCAGGGGAAATTTTGTTGTTCAGAAGTTGCTCTTTTAGAGCTCTCAGTTTCATTTATTTACATAATCCTCTGGAAGTTTTGTGTTTTCTGTGACTCACATGCCATAGTTTGAGTTTGGGTTTTACACAATGGTCTATTATTGTTGAAATCATCCAATTTAGATAAACTCGCCTCTAAATGTTAAGTGAATACAAAACAAACTGTGATTGGTCATGTGCCATCCTGTTCAGAATAAGCAGCAAAGTGGACCAGACTAGTCAAAAGTCTATATGTGAGT